GTACCACTTTACTTGAAAAGGAAACGGAACTCTACTGAACCGTTCGATTCCTGTGACCTAGTAATCTAAGACACGCCAGATCAAACGACAGTTCCTTCTACAAAGATGTGACAATAAACTACATCCGACATTGTTCTCTGGTCTAACCCTAGCCCATGGTGGTAGCACCTGTTAGGGTCCCAGCTATGGGCAAATAGGGAACAACCAAATTGAGTCCAAAAAATTGTAAATTATAAAAATACATTAGATAAAATATCAGCAATGAAAAAAAATTACAAAGCTCATAATATAATTAAATAGCATTAAATAGCCCATAAGGAATTGATATGCCCTTACAAAACCAAGCCCAAGGAAACAAAGTTGAACCCTGCCGGAAAGAACATTTTCTTTAATAAAAAGTTCTTGAATGAGCAATCCGATAGATGTAAAACATACCGTTTAAAATAAAAAAAGGGGGTGTTTAATTTAAATACGATTCTCCCCTAAAAAATAACTTCTAAATTAATATATATAACAATAATTTTTTTTTAAATCCAGACGACATGCATTTAACGGATGTCAGAATTCGTTGAAAAATACATCCCTACCCTTACTTAAACGAAAACCCTTCTTCAAACGTAACTAATAACTGATACAATGAAATACAGTGATAATGAACACGCAACCACACTTTGTCTGAATGAATGGATTTCTCTGTATCCTTGGAAACGTGAATTATGAATTTTTGCAGTGCGTTTAAAACCCAGTAATTTTAAAAATAAGTTACTCCCAAATTCGCTTGAACAGGAAATGGAACTAATGTCTTTAATTTAATTACAAAATTAAATTCGAAGCTTTTAGCTTCCATTTTTGAAACATGCTTAGAACAGTGTAGCGAAAAAAACATATTTTAAATCAATTAATTTATAATATTAATGCTCTGTAAATTCACATTGAGCACTACTTTGTAAAAATAAATTATCTATAAGAACACCGGGTTATATATCTTACTGTTCTTTTCTTTTATATATATATATATATATATATATATATATATATATATATATATATATATATATATATATTGGGTTGCTGCATAATTATCAGGCAGTTATTTGTTAAGCGAGTAAAATTTGTTAAGCAAGTTATTTTTTATAAAAAAATTATATATCTTATTTTCAGGTTATAAAAATGCATGTCGATATTCATACGCTTCGGAATAATCATTTAAAAATGTTATTGTTAAATTATATTTATTTTCTCATAATAAATATTGTTTAAAAAGTCTGATAATTATGCAACAACCCAATATGTGTGTGTGTGTGGTATTTAGTGAAATGTGCTCAATATCCATGATAGAGCTAACATATATAGTTGCATGAATTTAGATCATGAAAGCCTGAAACCTAAGGTCACAAACAACTCTCCATGCATAAACATATATATATATATATATATATATATATATATATATATATATATATATATATATTACAGTAAAAAACAAAATTACCTCAGAATGAAATAGTCTATTTCTAGCTGATCTGCACCCAGCTATCTTCAGCTCTTAAATCTTTATACTTAAGAGCTGAAGACAGCTGGGTTCAGACCAACCAGAAATAGACTATTCTAAGGTAATTTGGGTTTTTACCGCAAAAAATATACATGTTCTATTATAATAAATACATTGAGCTCTCTCTGGATCAGTTTTAATATTTGTTATTATTAGGATCCACCTGGATTATATACCAACGGACCTATTACCTATATATATATATATATATATATATATATATATATGTGTGTGTGTGTGTGTGTGTGTGTGTGTGATATAGTTTTAGAGTATGTTTTATGTGTAATACTGCTCGAATCCAGGTATATAGCGAATTTAAATATAAACAGGGCGACTGAACTCAACACCGAGCGGCGATAGTCTGTTTCATATGATTGAACACAATCGTCAGGCTTTTCTCTATGCCACGTAGACCTTATGAAGTTAAGCGCAGTACTAGACCGGCAGCTAGGTCTAATTATTTTACATTTGAAATGTCTAGATGTAACCATAAGTTCTATGTTAACAGTTTCTTCTCACGGTCTTCTTGCTTATGGAACTCTCTTACAGCTTCTTGCTTTCCAGTCAACTTTGATCTTAAAATAATTTGAATGTAATGTCAATCGTTATCTTCTTAATCCCTGTTCTTTTATTGCCTCTATCTCCTTAAGAAAGTTTTGTTCTCGTATTCTCTCACACTCAGTGACACCTTGCATCTTAGAGGCTTTATTACCATGCTTGGGGTGAAATGATTAAAAAATTAGATTGTAATATGAGAAGCACCGAATTTATAACATTTCATGGTTTGGTACTATATAAATGTTAGGTACCTATTCTCTTGTAATGGACTCTCCCATAGATAATAAGTAGGAGTAGCAGTGGCAAGTCTGGCAGAATGGTGTTGAGCGCGTCAGTTGAGATTCGGACATTTGAAGTACCAACCATCAAAACTAGATTTGCTGCGCCATTGACTCTTATTTTCCAAGTTCCTAACGTTTTGTACGTCGGACCTAATTTAGGACGACTTATTAGAAATACAAGCTTCCACTGTGAAAATACTCCACAACAATAAATGACTTTTAAGTAGGTATATCGTATACTGCATCGGTTTTATGTAGGTTTTAAAATACCAGACCTCACGTTTCAGATGGTCCATTTATTATAAACCGCATTTTCCAGCCTTGAGCTTATTATTGCCCTTGAAATGAAAGGTACGGCTGTTTTTGTAAGTGTTCAACTTAAGACACAGCACAGGGAGAACATTTCCGCATTTGATATTTGAAGAAAGATCTACTAACAAGTGGACAATACGACGGTGAATTCAAACATAGCAAGAAAGACTCGCTAACGACGGTTAATTAAGAAGGTTTGGGGACAATACATCCAGGAAAATTCAAGCCTTTTTCCAGAAAACTGTAGACCTTCTTCTATGATGGTTTCGGGCCAATTAGCTACGATAGGAAATGTTATATAAAGGAACAAATGAGTCACTTGTGGATTAGACATGGTGGCATTTGTTCAATGTCAGTGTAGTCAACATGAAATCTCCGAAAATAACGTCTCACTATATATATATATATATATATATATATATATATATATAAATCCAATTAAATGAAAAAATATAAATCAATGTACGTGTAAGTGTTCACAGACAAATGCATACATATATCCGTTGGTCTCAGAAAAACAGCGTTCAGTTGTAAATAACAAAGCAGTTAAGTATACATACATACATACATATATATATATATATATATATATATATATATATATATATATATATATATATATATATATATATATATATATATATATATATACATATATATATATATATATATATATATATATATATATATATATATATATAATTGCTATACATATATATATATATACATATATATGATAGAAATTAAGTAGGATTTGGGATAATTAAGTAATTCATCGAGTCTAGAAGAAACCTCAACAGAATGCAGAAAGCAGTGGACGGCCGTTTCGTCCTATATTTGGGACTCATCAGCAGTGCGCACTGTGAAAAAAGTTCAGTTTAATGTGGGGAGCCCGAGAGTGTACACCAGGGCTAGGAACAAAAATTGCCCGTGCCCTGGCAGCCATCGGTTGCACTGGCCTAGGTGCGAGTACCGATCCCTCTCTCTAGTGCACTGTGAGGGCGCGGCCTCAGGCAGATGCTCGCCAGGGCTGGGCACTTCTCAGTATAATTTTCCTCAGTTGCGACTTTGTCCTTTGCGGAGCCGCCCTTGAGCGCAATCTGCCCCAAAAACAGAGACGCAACTAAGAGATGATAAATAAACGTGTTACAAACTACTAGAGAGCAATTTCTACTGACCACTCGTAGTTATAGCCCAAGTACAATAATAAAAACTGTAACAGCACAAAAACCTCTCCGCAAATGAATATCAATGCAGAAAAACGATCAAAGAGATTCTCATTCGTAGTCCCAGTAGTTGCTGAAAAATTCGTTCAACTCGTATATAACTCATATAACATTCTCAACTAACATGAAGTGAAAAACTACATAGAATCTATTGCTAGGTAAGTTGATAAGAAACTTGGTTCATTCTATCGTGCTAGACAATTTTTCTCCCCTAAATCTATCTTGCATATCTATAAGTTATTATTCTCCCATGCTTAGAATATTGATACCGCATGTGGTTCGGTGCTCCTGCTATTTATTCTTGATAAAATCCAAAGAAAAATCAGCAATATTATCTCGGCTTCAGTCACTTTCCCACCGCTACAAATTTGCTTCCCTGTGCCTTTTTATAAATACTTTCATGGTAATTGTTTGGACGAGCTCTTCGCTATGATACCTCGACTTTATTAAATTAAGCGCAGTACTAGATTGGCAACAAGTTTTCATCAATTTACAGTTGAACTGGTTAGATGTAACTGTAGGTTCTACGTCAATAGTTTCTTTTCTCATAATTCTCGCTTATGGAACTCTCTTCCGGCTCCATACTTTCCGGCCAACTTTGATCCTCAAAAATTTGAATGCAATAACAATCGTTATCTACTATCTTCCTGATTACTCTTCTATTGTTGAAACTCCATCCTAATGTTTCTGTTTTCTAATTCTTTTAAATACAGTAACCCATTGGATCTTAGGGACTTTACTGCCTTGCTTGGGGCAAATTCTATTAAAAAAAACAAAAATAAAAATGTATACAACATGTTTGCATTCTCTTTACATGAAAATTTGAACAACTCGACCTGATTTGGAAAATAATTCTACACAAGATGGCGGCTATTTTCATTTTACTTGTTTAAAGTTATATTTCTTTTTAACCCTTTAATATTTTTTTTTTGTTTTTTTTTTTTTTGCGGGGGAATGTTTTACATCTTATAATTTTGCTTGTTTCTTCCTTAATTAGCACGTATGGGCATTACGTTCGGCCAATATTTCATGAATAATGAACTATTCCATTACAAAGCGAAAAGACTAGACCGAAAAGGGTAGAAAGAAAGAAAGAAAGAAAGAAAGAAAGAAAGAAAGAAAGAAAGAAAGAGCGAAAGAGCGATAATAAAGTATATTAGAAAGAAAGAAATGAAGGGGCAAAAATTCTAGATTAGAAAGGAAGAAAGAATAAATGAGAGAATAGGGGATATTAGGAAAAAGAAAAAAGGAGCGAAAAGGGGTAGAAAGAATGAAAGAAAAGAGAAAATAGAGTATATAAGAAAGAAAGAAAAAGAAAGAAAGAAAGGGGGAGGAATAGGGTATATTAGAAAGAAAGGAAAAAAGGAGAGAATAGGGTATATTGTAAAGAAAGAAAGGGCCGAAAATGGTAAATTAGAAAGAAAGAAAGAAAGAAAGAAAAACAAGCAAAATTCAAACAGAAAAAACCATGAAGTTTCCACGAGTACTACTAAGTTATAATAATTCTCTTAAGAATTGTTTCTCGTTAATCAATCTTCGCTGAAATAAGCACATTTCCGTTGCTGTAATTTATAGCCTTGACGAAATATACTTTACCGGTTAGAATCTTTACGAAAGTGTGCTGAAACACTTCACCATTTTGTCTTGATTTTTTCTAGTACTGACCCAGTTAGAAGAGTACGACTTAAATAACAAAAAAAAAACATCCGAATTATTATTTTTTGTTTATCTTTTTATTATTATTTTGGTTGCTTGGCCGGGCTGAGAACATTTTAGTGGATAGTCACTTTGGAATATTCGGTTCTATTCTAATTCTTATATAAAGTTTATTCCTATACTCGGACATGGGAAAATTAATCGACTCCTTGATAATTCACATATGTTTTGATGGATATCGTGAGATCAATTCACTGTATCACTGAACTTTTACTATCTCAAAAAAAATCTTACAATCTAGAAATATTTTCTGGCTTTAAGTAACCTGCATAAGGTTGATAAGTCGTAAAAAACGAACCAATTCACTCAGTCTGTACAACTGATGTACTGTTGCATATAAGAAAAAAATTACGCATCTCATATCCTTAAAAGTAAAATATTAGAAGAAAGCTTTCAGGAAACAAAGAAAAAAGTCAGGGTTTCTTGAGCCGAAGAAACGTCATTATAATGGCTGACGGCTTAGGGCTTTATGACGCGGAGTCAATGGTTCTCACCTACGTGAAGTAACGTCGCTTTATTTTTAATTATTTAATTTGTTCTTTTAATTTGTCATTGCTATTCGAAACGGAAAAAAAGGTTCTATTGTATTATTTAATTAAGGGGACAATTTAAAAAATAAAAAAACATTAAATAATTTACGAAGTTTATGCATAAATTTTTGTTTTATTTTCAATTTTACAATATAAAAAAATGTTTTATTTTTATTATTTAATTTGTTCTTTTAATTTGTCATTGCTATTCGAAACGGAAAAAAAGGTTCTATTGTATTATTTAATTAAGGGACAATTTAAAAATAAAAAACATTAAATAATTTACGAAGTTTATGCATAAATTTTGTTTTATTTTCAATTTTACAATATAAAAAAATGTTTTATTTTTATTATTTAATTTGTTCTTTTAATTTGTCATTGCTATTCGAAACGGAAAAAAAGGTTCTATTGTATTATTTAATTAAGGGGACAATTTAAAAAATAAAAAACATTAAATAATTTACGAAGTTTATGCATAAATTTTTGTTTTATTTTCAATTTTACAATATAAAAAAATGTTTTATTTTTATTATTTAATTTGTTCTTTTAATTTGTCATTGCTATTCGAAACGGAAAAAGGTTCTATTGTATTATTTAATTCGTTTTTGTTATAAATAGAACTAAACTTACCAAAAAAAATACATTTCTTTACGGTAGTGCGTAGTGATTTTCTGCACAGAAAGTCTGTAAAAGAAGTAAATAGGCCCAAATTTTATGACTCCTTCAAAAATCTTTCGGTAGTGAATTACTTCTCAATAAGCCGGTAATGGCTGACGAAAGACCAACAAGAAGTTCGATTTTTTTCTTGTCGATAACTCCAAAACGGTAACGTTTTTTCATAATTTAATTGTTAATTCGAGTTCAGCATGTACATTTGCACGGAAATAAGACTATTTTTGAAAACTTTGAAGGTATATTAGCGCTCGGGAAGCAAAATAGAAATTAACCTCCCCATTTAGGTACTGACCAGGCTTGACATTGCTTAAGTTCGTTGATCGTACGAGAACCAGTGTTACAACGTGATATGACTTGTAAGGCCCAAATGGTTTTTGAAGGAAACTCTTATCTAAAAAGAATAGACTTGAAAAGTCTAATTTGCTAAAAAGATTATAAAGATTTCAAGCGACGGTAACACTAAGTGTCTCTTCAATGAATTCCAAATTTTTTCTCTATATAAATAACTAATTTCATCATTACCGTAAACAAACAATTTAGTCATACGGACATTCTTTTTCATTATACGAAAATATTTTAAATGACAGATTCCTTCACGAAGTATGAAGTCATGGCTCTTTTTTTATTTGCATACATTGCCAAGAGTTTTGGAAGCATAGTGGAATGGTTTCCCCTTTGCCTTCTCTACGGATTTATACTCGAAGCGGTATTTCTCTTAGGCTTACTACGACTCAAGGTTAGAAAGCTCAGCCTATCTTCTTTAACTCAGTTTATTTGGGGAAGCATGCAAAAGATATATTTATGTTTTGCATTGTTTTTTCCCCCAAGAGCAGTAGGGTGGAAGTGAAAGCAAAAGATTCGGAAAGGATTTGAACTCGGCTCATCGTTTCCACTTTCAGCGTAGATAATCATTACGCTATTATATTCCTTATTTTATACAAAACACTGGAAAATCATCTCTTCCGACTTCTGCTTGTAAAAGAAAAATCATTATTCTGCAATCTTTAAATATCAAACTGACATGTTAAACACCGAACATTCATATTGGGGCGCTGATCTTTTTTTCCCTTCTGCGATTTTTAATGTAAGCGAAAATCTGATATTTCAAAAGAGATAAAAGCATTTCATACCGGCGGCATCCATTTTTACGCAGGGACCGTTTGTCAGACTTGAGTGGCATACCTTTTGGCAATTCCAGAAGGACGAATGAAAAATCTAAGAAAAAGACAGGAGAGCAAAATATCGAAGCCTGGGGGTCGGATGCGAGAGAAGAAAGGCAGGAAGGAAGTTTTCATATTCTTGACGTTCTCAGAAAACAACTTCATAACAGATTTTTTTTTCAAAATGGTATATATATATATATATATATATATATATATATATTCATGAAAGTTATCCTGCTCTTTATATCTATATCTATATATATATATATATATATATATATATTCATGAAAGTTATCCTGCTATTTATATATATATATATATATATATATATATATATATATATATATATATATTCCTGAAAGTTACCCTGTTATTTATATATATATATATATATATAGGATAACATTTAACATTTTCTTTAACAATGCTAAATATCTATCTATCTATCTATCTATCTATCTCTCTCTCTCTATATATATATATATATGTGTGTGTGTGCGTGTGTGTGTGTGTGCCTATGTGTGTATGTAAAGAATGACATTTAACATTGTTAAAGAACAATATTAAATTGTATCTATTTTCATTACTTGAATAATATATATATATATATATATATATATATATATATATATATAAGTGAGTGCGTTATATTTATATATAATTAATAAGAGTATATGCATATATAATTACTACGAAGTTTATGCACATTTAATTACTAAAAATGAATGAAGTACTTGGCAAATGAAGATATGAAAATAAAGACCTATTTTGTTAAATACAACGAGATTAATATATATATATGTGTGTGTGTGTGTGTGTGTGTGTGTGTAAATTAAAAATAGAAAATGAAAAATTAACATAGAATGAAAATTATAAATTCAAAATTGAAAAATATAAATTATAATTCATAATTTATATATTTTTCTGATGGACTTTTCTGTATTATACCTAGACTTTGTACTAGATTGGTAAGAAGGTCTAATCATTTCACAGTTGAATTGCCTAGATGTAAACGTAAATTCTATGCTAACAGTTTCTTTTCTTGCACTTCTTGCTTGCATAACTCTTTTACAGGTAGAAGAATCCGATAACTTCCACCAGGCTAATATGTTGACAGTGGATCTCAGAACTTCCGGCATTGCCCTGACCATCCACTCTTGTTGGATGACCAGCTTTTGTGCTGCCTCTCCCTTTTGCGCTCGCCTTCAACAGTGCCTTGTATGACGGTCTAGCGGTGGCTGTTATGCCGTGTGGCGTAACGAAGCCATGACCTCTTGCAATGCTTAATAGTGGCGCGAAGAGATTCTTGTCGGCTCACGAGACTTTTGACCTTACTCCGTATATAGTTTGTGTTTCCATTAAGTGGTGCGGAGGAGCTTTCTCAAGCATTTGTTGTCGAAAGCCTGGATCCTTTTTTCTGCCTCAATCAGGAGTGTCCAACTCTCACATCCATAAGGAAGGATAGATACGACCAGTGATTTGAATTTGATAAGGAAGCTGATGTTGTACTTCCATATCATTTCTACTCTGGCCATCGCCGCTGTTTCTGTGGCGATCCGGATTTCTGGATGGTAGGTGCTAATTTTTGACAAGGTTGCTCCCAATTATTTGAAACTAAATACTTCCACCAGTGTTTCACTGGTCATGGTGACGCTGGCAATGGTGTTGCTTATGTTAGTCGCCATTTCCTTGGATTTCCATACCATATACAGCAGTTCTTGCAGCTCACGGATATTCTCTGCTATAAGGTCAATATCGCCAGCGATATCCTCAGTTTGCAGACAGCTCTAACACCGATAGGGATAGAAGATCTTGGAGGGTTTCATGCATAATTCTCTCCAGAAACAGATTGACGAGTGCTGGACAGAATAGGCATCCCTTATCTAACGCCGGTAGTCGTCTGGAAGAAATCTCCCACCTGGTTACTCGAGAGAACTGCACAGGTGGCATGGTCATAGAAGGCCTGGATGATTTATATGAGCCCTCTTTTTACGTTGAATCATCTGGGGACATACCAGAGGCCATCATAACATACCCGAGCAAATGCTTCTATGAAATAAATGAGATTGTGGAACAGATCCCTCTGGTTTTGCTAATGTTTCTCGAGGATCCCCCAGTTGAAGATTTATTTTACTGTGCTGGGTCCGACTCTAAAACCTGCCTGCTCTTATGACATTAGTTCTTCAGTCTTGGATTTAAGACCGCAGGAGCTCTGAAATTAGGCAGGGCGAGGGTGGGGAATATAACTGGGAAATTCGATCTAGGAACCCACAACGAACGTGGAGAAAAATAGATCCAAGGGTGCACAGCCAATAACCAAGTAATAGCCATCACATGGTTCCAAGAACATCGGAGACGATTCTGGACATGGGCGATCCCAAAAGGAGAAACTAAAAATCATATTGACTACATAACTATCAACAAAAGATTCAGGAATGCAATGGTTCACTACAAAACATATCCCAAGTGCCGACTGCAGAAACGGCCATCGCCCTGTTATATGTAAACTAGGAATGAAACTACGGAAACTGAAGGAGCCTAACGCAACATTCAAATTGCAATACAACAAACTCTTGAGCGACCCGTACGTAAAAGAAAAATGTTTGGACCAATGTAAAAAGAATATACGAAGGAAACAATGGAAATAGAAACTCGAAATGGGACGCACTAAGAGAAGATTTAGTGACATCTGCAAAACGATATCATCCCAAAGAAGAATTGATGAAGAAGAAAAAACGAATGGATGACTTATAAGATTCTCGACATGATGAAAAGGAGACAGAAAACTCTGCCAAGATACGGAACGGAATACAGAAAACTATAGAACGCAAAAAGAACCAAGTACAGGCTGGCTTAAGAAGAGTGGCTAAACAAAAGGCTAAAGAAGAGTGGCTAAACAAAAGGCTAAAGAAGAGTGGCTAAACAAAAGGCTTAAGAAGAGTGGCTAAACAAAAGGCTAAAGAAGAGTGGCTAAACAAAAGGCTTAAGAAGAGTGGCTAAACAAAAGGCTAAAGAAGAGTGGCTAAACAAAAGGCTTAAGAAGAGTGGCTAAACAAAAGGCTAA